TGGTGGAAATGGTGAAGGAAATCAATCAAATCAATTGACTCTACCCACAAGCTTATCATTTGATAATGAAGAAAATCTTTATGTTGCTGATGAGGAAAATCACAGAATCCAAAAATTTGAAAAAATTTTAGTTTTGAAATATTTTTGATTGACTTTGATAAATTTCGATAATTATTGTTGAAAATAAATAAAAAACATTAATTTATGAAAAATATTGAAGAAAAATAATTTAAAATAAATTAAAAAATCAAAATGAATAAAATAATTCGGATAGAATTTTTCTTGAATGAATGAAATTAAATGAATTTGAAAGAAAATTCAATCAGAAAAAAAATTTAAATTAATACAAAAAACTTCTAAATAGAACTTTTATTAGATTTATTTTTGCGATTTTATCATTTATTGAGACAAAGGGAAGAGAAAAGAAAAAAGATGAATGAATAAGAGTGAAATCTATCAAAATTGAAGAATTACATTAAGAAAACCTATTTTGTTAAAAGAAAAAATTCTTGTCATATTTAAATATTAAAAATAAAATAAAATAATTCATTAAAAAAAAATAAACAAGAGATCAAATTTGTTTTATTGACTGAACTTCTTTTGCTTGCTCAATAGTTGTCAATTCGTTGAAAAACAACACATATTCATCGTAGAATTTTGAAGATGAACAAATTATAAATATAAAAATAAATGTGAACTAGTTCAGTGACAGATTTCGATTATTGTTTCTATTAGTAAAATATTCGAACTTGATATTATCATTGATAATTCAAATTATGAACTAAAGCGTTGTGACAAAAATTGAATTTAAACATAGTTTATTATACTAGTTTTATAACATAATTACAAATAATAATTTTAAGTAGAGCTTTCGATACTTCAAGTATCATCTTCAGTAATGTTCAATATTAGTTCATTATTTCATGCATATTCAACATCAACATACAATATTCTACAACTGAAGGTGATACTTGAAGTATTGAAAGTTCTAGTTAAATTTATTATTTGTAGTCATGTTATAAAACTAGTCTAACAAACTACGTTTAAATTCAATTTTTGTCTTAATTTCATCAAAATCTATTAAATTATTGTCATCATCATTAAAGGGTTGTAGGTGCGATCTCTGACTGATATCCACCCCCACATTCACATCCAGATATCCTCGATGTAGAACCCATAAGAAGTTAAGTGTTCTGTTGCTTGAATCTGATGTGATCATCGTTGTTACTGACATCGAATGTGTTTAATAGCTTCTATTCTCTCGCGAAATATTTAAAATGTCTTTTTATGGTAGTAGCCACATGGAAAGTCAATTTTTTTTGCTTGTTCACGTGGTTTGAAATAAAATAATACAGTATTATTTTCCTTTTCATGAGAAGAAAAAAACACTACTGATTGGTTACTTAGTATAGTTTCATATTGTTGTTGCTTTTGAATTCTAATCGTTTTTTTGGATTTACCAACATTACTTTTTGTTTTTCGATTGTGAAAAAATAACTTCGTCATTTTAATAAACTACTTTCATCAGTCGCTTCCAACATACATTTAAAAGTAAAAAATATTACCAGAAATTCTAGCACATTATTCATTCGATTTAAACTATTGTTGTCGTGGTGAGTTTTTGACTGTTTTCATACTGTATACTTTAACAATTTAAGATCAGTTATCTGATAAACATTAAACGAGTTATGATCAAATGTATTTCTAATAAATAAACATAGTACAACTTATAAGTCATTGTTTCTTGTAAATAGTTCTTATCGTAGTTACAATAAATCGAACTGAACTCAAACCAGTCAAAGTTATTTTGATTTAGTCTCTATAGTTAAAGTTAAATAGAGAACTATCATTGTTAAATGATAAATAATATTACTAAACCATTTAGTCAGTCAACACATTTTCTCTTTATCAAACAGATTCTATAAAAATTTATTTAGTAAAATTTCAAGTTTGCATTTGTGAAAATGACTATTTCATTTTTAGATATTGATATGAAACTTAAAATATGTTTACTATTAGATTGATTTCTTTTTTCAAACTGCAATAAAAGTCAAGCTAAAGATAATAAAATAAGAAAAGAATGATACAATTCTAAGGTTAGCAATGTTTTTTTTCTTGTATTTATAGCAGAGATGTCCATAGCGGCACTCTATTTTCTTTACCATCGCGGCGCGGTAGTTCTTTTTTCACTGTCGTCACGATGTAGTAGCGGCACATTCTCAACCATGATGGACATCTCCGATTTATAACTAAAAAGTTCAAAATAAAATTTAATTACTATGACTATTTTAATTAAATTAAGTTAAAAAAATGTTTTATCAATGAAATTAGAGTTAATCGAAATTACTTTGATGCACTACAGGATTTTTCAAATACATAATTATGATATTTATCTCTTAGACTTAGGTTTAGCATCTCATTTAGATATAATTAAATTGGAAAAATATAAAAATTGTAGTAAAGTAACTTTGATCGTCAATTTTTTCAAATTGAATAATCCAAATACGATTCAAATAACGTTTTTATTTTTTATTTTTTCTTATTTAGTTCATCATTTAATAAAAAAAACAATTTGAATTATCAATTAATTACAATGAGTAGTTCAGGAGATCGTTTTACAGATATCGAACTAGAAAATAAACGTTTACCAGCATGTTTTGGCTATATTACTTGGAAATTATTATCTCTTGAAGAAGCGATGAAAGAATTGCAAGATTCTTTCGAAGAAATGAATCGTTTTGTTAAATTAGCTAAAAAATATTGTACTTATCCAAATGATCATAACTTAACAAAAGATGAATCTGCTGCAATTTATATTTATACGATGGAAATGTCTCATGATTCAAGTGTTTATCGTACTTTAAATCAAACACTTCGTGCTGAAGATCGATCAAAAGTTCTTCCATGGTTTGGATATTTAAAACTTCTAGATTCTGCAACATCAAAATTACCAAATTTTAAAGGAATTGTTTGGCGTGGTATTGATAAAGATGTTACTATGAATTTTAAAAAAGGTCAACAAATTACTTGGTGGAGTATAAGTTCATGTACAACATCTGTTGATGTTATTTCTACATTTCTTAAAAAATCTTCTTCAAGTACATTATTTAATATTGAATGTTTAAATGGAAAATCCATTTCATCATTTACATGTTATCCAAATGAAGATGAAGTTATTTTAATGCCTGGAACAATATTTGAAGTTGTATCGAATCCATTAAATCACCCAGGTGGATTAAATATTATTCATTTAAAAGAAATTACTGATGATGATGAACCACTAAATCCAAGTACGTATTTAAACTACTATATTGATTAGATAACAAATCAATAAGATGAATTTCGATAAATAAGTGAATATGAAAATAGTTCTTTAAAGTCTAATTAATGAGTTAATAGAAAATATTATTTTATTTCTTAGATTTCTCTAAACTAATCGAGTAAGAAATTGAAATGCTGTAAGATTAGATTAATTTTTGACTATAAATTCATATTTATTTATTTTTATTTCGAATCTAAAAATATTTGATTTATTTGAATAATCAAGATATATTGTTAAATGAAAATATTTATAGAAAAATTAAAGAAAATAATTTATTTTTCAATATAAATAATTAAATATATAAAGCATTGCAGAATTTATGATATGGATCTTAAAATATTCTAATGAATAAGATTTTGAATAAAAAGAAAATCGATTTTATTTTAGAACGAATTCTAACAAAAAAGAATAAATTGGAACAATTTGCAGATACGGTCGCTGGAGGAAATGGAGAAGGACATCGATTAAATCAGCTCTATTGTCCGCAAGGAATCTGTATTGATAGTGATAAATCAATTTATATTACTGAACCTAACAATCAGCGTGTTGTTAAATGGAAATTTAATTCAAATTCTGGTCAAATCATTGCAGGTGGAAATGGTAAAGGAAATCAAAGTAATCAATTGAATTTCCCATCAGATATAATTATTGACAAAAAAAATAATTCTTTTATTGTTTCTGATTTCGAAAACAAACGAGTAATTCGATATTTTGATCAAAATCATACAAATCAACAAATTCTTATTTCAAATATTAACTGCTGGGGTCTGACAATCGATAAAAATGGATTTATTTATGTTTCTGATTGTGTGAATAATGAAGTAAGACGATGGAAAGAAGGAGATAAAGAAGGTGAATTAGTTGCAGGTGGAAATGGTGAAGGAAATCATCTTAATCAATTTCAAAATCCCCGTTATATCTATATTGATGACGATTATTCTCTTTATATATCAGATGTTAGCAATCATCGTGTCATGAAATGGAAAAAAGATGCAAAAGAAGGAATTATTGTTGCTGGTGGAAATGGTAAAGGAAATAGTCTCAAACAATTGTATCATCCTCATGGAGTGTTTGTTGATCATTTGGGTCAAATCTATGTAGCAGATGCTTGTAATCATCGAGTCATGCGTTGGTGTGAAGGAGATATAAAAGGGGAAATTGTTGCTGGTGGAAATGGTGAAGGAAATCAATCAAA